ATTTTATTAAAAACTAATGCCGAGATTTATGAAATTTAATCGGAAAAAAAAATATACAAGACCTAAATCAAATAAAAGTGTTATCACTGGGTACCTATATTGTTTCTTCAAATAATTTAAATCATGTTATATTGTTTTCTTATCCCCCATATAGTTATAATGTCGAAGGTAGATATTGTACATTTTCTTCCAAAAAAATTTTGTATTATAACCAGGAATCGAAACCGGTTTAATTGATTTTTTGAAAAACCTGTTAAAACCGCGCTTTTTTCATATTTGAACACCGTAACCGGATCCGACACCAAAAGCTTTAAGACAACGTTTAAAAAACCGTAACCGAAAAGTAAAATCATTTTGTTTAAATATCACAAGCATTAATCTCATAATAAGAGATTTATTTGACGGTAATATAGAGTGACGTTATTGTAAATTACAATTAAATATTAATGTAATCGAATAAAGATCTCAACCACAGTAATTATGTTGTATGCAAAAGTAGGTACAATATATTAAAGTTAAAAACACTAAATTAGTTTTGCTAAACTTACATTTTCTATTTTGTATGTACCTAAACTGATTACACAAATTGGAAATATTTTAGATATTTAGGTTTTTTTAAAGTTAATAGATATTAAAATGCGAGTCTACAACTGTGAAATTTAATCAAAATTTTCAAAAACCATTCCAAACCCGAAAATGTTCAAAAACTGGTCTTAAAACCTAAATAAATATCTTAAAATGTAGAAAACTGTTCTCAAAACCCGAGACCTTAACCGTTAAAATTTGAAACGGTTTTTGTTCCTGATTGTAACTATGTCCATTTTTGGAAAGCATGAAATGCAATGTTTAAATAGTCGATACTTGAAATTTTTTGGTTAAAAAAAATAATATTAATTATTAAAAGAATCTTATTCCCAATATATGAAAAAGTTTTAATGTATTAAAATTTTTAACTATTACTCAGCTTAAAACAAATCAAGAACTTATAGTTATGATATTATTATTCAGTAATATTTTCTTATTTAATATTTTTCGTTAAATAAGGTTTTAGTAACTATAAATAAAGGTATTTGTAACTTTAGTAATTAAAATTGCAAAGATTGTAGAATTCTTCTGTAAAATTATCACTTTGGAATATATTATAATTATTAAAAACTAAAAATCTAAAACATTTTAACGATAAATGATAAAAATGAAATGGTTTTTCTATAAAAAATAAGAAGTTGCGTCGAGATGTCTACAAGCGGTGTAAACAATTATTTTCAATAACACATTGGTACCTACATTTACCGATACATTGCATATTCAGCGATAAAAGAAGAATCAAAACAGGTAAACTCGATGGTGATGTTCCTAATAAAAAAAGTCGAGACGAGGAGACATCCAACAAATTAATATGCCGCAATGCACACAATCACATTTTAATTTACAGTTGTCGAGTGGGGATTATTTGATTGTATAATATTTAATAATAATATATAAACTTCTTACGTTTTTCATGGTAATGTTGACTACACGGCGTATTAAATTTGTGAATTTCGAATTCCTATGAATTTATGTGTACGAAACAAATAGTTCGTTTTATTTTTTTTTTAAAGTTACAGTATAAGAACATACCTACTTTTTAATGCACGTTCAAAAATACATATGTCGAAACGAGTCGTTTAAAAGTTACTCCTGAGAGGTTGAAAGTTTTTTGTTTTCAGAATTTCTCAGTGCCACGTGGCATGCAAATACCCGTAGGTTGGTACTTATACATATCTCTATCGATTCCCTATGAAAAATCAGTCTCATTAATATATCGTCGTCTTGATCGGGGGAAAAATTCAACAAAAAATTGGTTTGACTAATGCGACCATTCCAGTTAAGGAATAATAAGGAGTATCACCAAACCAAGCAGTACCTCAGGGACGGAAATCTTCCACATGCAGGAGGCCCACCTCAAACTTCCAAATGGCATTAAATTAAAATTCATTTTGTTTCGTAAGTTTTACAAGTATAAAAAAGCAGTGACCGGTTACATATTACGAGGATTAACTATATATTATGTTCCTTAGAAAGTAAACCCTATTTAATAGTTTCATCCGGTGACCGCCAGAAAAACCACACAAACGATAAACTGCTGACATACCTGGTCACTGGTTACTTACACCACAGTAGTTTCGTATACCGGGGTGTAAAGACAGTATTGTATAGTGCAACACAGCTCTTAAGTCGTAACTCGTATGGGTACCTACTTTGTAGTACTTGCCGCCATTCCGAGCGAAATACTGAAATCGCAAACAACTTTAAATGGCTGTAACTTTTAAACTACTTGTTTCCACACATTTATTATTGCATATTCGTAATCGAAATAAAAAGTAGGTATGTACTTATTGCCGATTAAATAAGAAAAAAAAATTTAAAAAAAAAAACCGTTGAAAAGGTATGCTTGGTAAAGTGTATGATGTGTTTCAGACAAAAAAAAAATAACTCATATAGGTACATTACTTGTCGTATCAGTTGATATTATATTTTAGTTAATTGAGAAATAAAATATTGTCAAGTACTTATAATGCTGTATTTGGTTTTATATAAATATGTTGGTTGTCATTAAGTTATGGTTTGCTATGGTTAAATTAGGTTTAGTTTTTCTATTATTTTGTAAATCATACAAATTTTATTCTAATTATTCAAGTATTTCCATGATATTATAATATCGTCATTATTTTATTGGAAACTTTATATGGCAATTTACTACACTGTATATGAGAGTCCGGTTTTCTACACACTATAAACCTAAATATTACTTATTGTTGTCATGGGTTCTGGAAACAATAATAATTTCCCGTGTTCTTTTTGAGGAAAAAAACAAAGTACATTCATCGCTGGATTATGTTAATTCCTAACTGTATAGTGAATAATAAATCGTTATTTTATTTCACGACTGCGTAACAATAATGAATGATTAATACGAATTATTTACCATTCCGATTTATAATGGTAGCAATGAAGTGCTCGCTTTGCACTGTACAGAAAACCGCTTAAAACGCATTTAGTTTTTAGTTTTTCCTTTATTTTTTTGTAGTAAATAATTCAATATAATATGGTCCGATAAAAAAAAAAGAATACCTATATACAAAATATCATGTACATGGAGTTTATTCCGAGAGAGGTTTATTCACCCACCCTACCATCACGTCTAATCTTTTTTTTCGTTTTAAAATATTGTAAGTAGTATAACATGTTTAATATGCTTAAAATACGTATTATCTGCTCAATATTATCTATTCATATAATATGTAGTACCCACGTATTTTTAATTTTCCGATCCAATTGGATCCAATAATTAACCATACCTTAGTTGTAATATACATCCGAAAATGGTAGACATAACACACTCCTGAGACGATCAAAGGACCACACCTGAATACCGACCCTATTGATCGATAGGTACAAAGAAACTAGGTTTTTGATATTTTTATTATCATACCTAGTCATAAGCTTAAAATACATTTGACATAATAAATAATAATATGAAAACAAACGAGGTTATCGTGTACTTAGACGCTTATAAGTTATAGGTAGAGGACGTATTATTTTTTAAACGCATGTCTGGAAAAAAAAAAACGTACATAGAAAAAATTGAAATATATTATTATTTCAAATTGTGTGTGTCAACGACAAATATTCTTTCATTAGGTACATAAACTTACATGTAGTTCTTATTATTACGCTTTTAATATTTTTTTGGCTTTGACGACAAAATTGGTGTGGTGCACATGAGTTTAAATCAGTGGCCAAAACATGACGCTCGGGGGACATTTTTGCGGCGACTGGCATACATGGTTTAGCACTTAATATACCCTTCAAAACTCCGTTTTTCACATGTCCCATTGGAACTCATTGAAACGAATTATGTCTGTAAACAGCTTTGGGGTATCATTTTCATCATGTCGTTCTTGGGTAAACATTATCAACTTCACCGTTCACCCACGAGTTTCGCCCTCGTAAGAAGGTTCCTGCGTCTGATGTAATTTATTTTAGATTTTTTTATTTTACTTAAGATATTTATTTATTTGTCGTTACTGCAGTATTTATATACTGTATAATTAAGCTAAACAAATAAAATAGTTTTAAAATTAAACATTTTCGATTTTATTAACCCGAAAATCGCGAGACATCATAAAATATTTTTTTATCACATCATGTCATATTTTCGGGATGGAAAACAAACCATCCATTAGTTACCCCTTTCATTTGTTTTCATTCATTAAACAAATTTTCAAATATATTATGTATACAAATCACGTAAAACTTTCAACAACCAAATTATATTTATTTAACTTGATAATTTATTCTTCAGCTGTATATTTCTATATTATATATATTATACACTGATTGACTTCAATGTTACAATATTTAAATAAAATGTATATCAAACGTAACTTTAGAAAATCCATTTATATTAATCAAAAACGTCTCAACCATGCGTTCTGAACATAGGAGAAAATATTTTTTTTACTTTACCGATTTCTTAGTACTATTATTTGTTTGTTTTTAATTCATAAACTCTATCCTGTTCGCTTAAAACAAATACGTAGACAAGTTACAGATAAACACATTGTTAAATATTAATTATTACTAAATAATAAATTATTCTCAGCTAGACAAAAAGAGTCGTATGGTTAAGCAAATTGAGTACTAATGTGTTAACGTAGTGTATAAGATAAAACATATTTTGACTGTATTAAATACAACTATGAAAATAGGTACTCAAAAAATTTCTTTTTTTACCAAATATATAATATTATTTCTTTGCAGAATATATACGTTTATAAAAATTATTAGCACGTTATTGAAATCAAGCAATATTCCAAAAATTAAATTATTAACTAAATTAAGAAACGTATACACACGATGATTGACGTATTACATGATTGGAACAACCGTCGTCGGGAGGTTGCAGTATGAAGACAAAACAGAAATTTACATAATATCGTACGCAAATTTGATGGTAGCTATGAAAGTACTTGGTTATATGCAGAGTATATTACAGAGTATAGAGGAGGCTGAAATCCCTTATATTCCCATACTTCACATACCCGCACTCTGCCTGAGCTTCCACCCCTCTCGACCAACCCTCGTCGACATAGCTGCAGACAACCGCGACAACTTACCGCGGTCGTGTAACCGAATTTTCCGACGGTGGCGGACTGCACTCGATTTGGCTTTCGATAATTTCCCAAAAGGCGTCCACCACCGAATATCCCGGTACCACTCATCCACCAGCCACCACCACTTCCACCACTGCCTTCACTGCCAACACCGTCACTGCCACCACATCCACTCCGTACCATCCCTCCACCGACGTGGATTCGCTCAACGTTCACGTCACCGCGTGCATCCCTTTTGCACCACCCCTCAAATTCAGCAGCTTCATCCCCCGCACTCGCCTAATCTACCCCGTATCTTGAGTATCTTCTGTGCGCTCACCCTTTCGTCTCCTCGTCATTTGCATTCTCCACACAAATGTCACCCACTCGCCGCCTCCACCACCGCCGCGTCTACACAGTGGGTGGTGTCCCGATTTTTTTAGGCAGTTTACGTGTATACGATATATGTGAGCGTTTGTGTTGTATTTAATATAATATGCACTACACGACAGACGACACTGTGTGCGTGGACAATATTATACACGCACACACTAGGTATTTGAATACGATCGGACTCGGAAGTACGCGCATGCGCTCGAGCTGTTGTGTTTATACGTCCGTCCTGGGTCCCCGAAATTAACATGCATATTGGAAGCGGTGACCTGCAATGGCCGTTGTTGATGCATTCGAGCTGTGGTCCTTTGACGGTTCACGGTGGCTGCCACCCCACAATAATTATTCACGGGCTCGTGCTGCAAATGGGCTTAGGTGTACGATTTTATTATATTTTCAAATCAACGTTTCAATTCGAACGGGACGTGAAACCGTTCCGAGCCATACCGCAGCGACGATGCGAATGTCGTTTCAAATTTTTTTTTTTTTTTTTCATCACCACATAAAGTTGGTATTGTAGAGGCGTGTAATGCACTTCTTTATTGGGGAAAAGAAGTATAGGCACTTCAAAAGCATCACAGTTGTTTACCTGATTTGAAGTTTGCTACAAAAAATTGGTTTTCGGAAAACGTACGTCAAAAATAATACTCTATGTTATTATATTATATTATACTATTATTCCGTAAATAAAATTACATAGTTATATATTTTTAACTACAGTGCTACAATAAAAACAAGTTTTATTTTGTTTATTATTATGAACGGTCTTGTTTTCAAATGATATATTTTTATTTAATACTGTACATTATAGTTAATTTTTATAGTCGCTGTAAGTGAATAATGCAATAATACTGGGGGATATATATTTTACACGTAAGTGTATTAAATTCCCCAGATGATAGATGACTAATCAGAGCTTATCGAATTTTTACATTGTATTAAATCGAAATAAATCCCATAATTATTGAAAAAAAACTAAATTTTAATTTAAGTTTAAAAACTATCGACTGAACTTTTTGGAAAGCCCGAGATTATAATAATAGTGTCTTACTGCCGGCCCGTCGTAAGCTACCAAATTAGCGTTACCGGAGTAGAATAATTGCCAGGTGACCGTTTTTAACCTGATACCACTGCTTAGGTGGTATGACGTGCAGGTTTAACAATATTATAGTGCATAAGTTATAATGCGTAAGTTCACGTCATGTATTATGGGCAATCTTATTTTCCAGCTACGAGCAAAAATGATAAAATTCACTTGCAAACGGTCGGAATTGAAACGTTTCGGATGTCTACTGCAGGTGGCCTGGTTGAAATATTTTCAAGGGTTAAGAGAAGGGCAAATGACAACTCCTGGAATATATTATTTTCAAGTCTTAAATCACGTGTATCCGGTTTCGTTGAGCAAATTGACAGTGCTCTCGTCAAACTATAACGGCGGTTACTTGAGGAATCGAATTATTTTTTAACATTATTATATTATAATATTTGATATTTTGATTAGATTTAATTTTCTATTCCGTGACCAATACACGCTCGTAAGTATATCTATCAAAAATCTATTTTTATCTTCATCGTTTGTGGAAGTATTATCATTATATACTATTATTGGCGCCTATGCAGGAAATTCACTCGGTCCCCATAATGTGCAATCACTGGAATTCCGATTGCAGCACTTTATTTTAATTATTGTACACAGCGCATAATGTGTTTTATTTTATATACAAATGTACAGGAGTTGGTTGGTTAACCTCAACCTGGCCAGAATTCACACGTTTCAAATAATTAATGGAAAATAGACTGCGAGAGATTTTATGAATACTTGATGGGGCTCAGAACGCGAAATCATTCTGATTGACTTATATTTGATCATTAATATAATATGCATATATTATTGTGATTATATTTTATACCAATATTCAAATGTCGGAAAACCCCGAATAAATCGTTTATTTGATTTACCTAACACTATGTACATTGTCAAATACATGACATTGCACACGAGGAAATTATGAATATTTACGTGTTTTATTTTTCGTGCTCACTGAGTTAAAATAATATTGTGTTGGAATATAATTACTATTTTTCATTTTATCCGACTGCGTTTTTGTAACTTAAATTATTTATCATTGTAATTATAAACTGCATTCATTTCATGTATGGAATTCCAAAGAAAATAAATTAATATTACAGTTAACGGCTTTTTTTTTCTAATTATTCTCAAAGGTAAGTTATTTAATTTAAAACCAAGTGCTTTATATAACATTTACATAACATTAAACTATTTTATTTATTTACTCAGCTTATGAAAAACCGTGTATGTCAGTATGAAATAAAGAATAAAAAGAACAGAGCTTATATAATATAATATTATCGTTGTCAGCAGGAGTAAAGTAAAAGTTGTATTTAAATTAACTCTGTTGGATAGATAACCAATTATATAATATCACATAGACCATAAGAGACCGATAATCTGACACAATGGTTTCTGCTCCTTTAATCTTATCATGTGCGTATTATAGTGGTTGTCAGACGGTCATGGAGATCCGGTTCATCACAATGCTCGGTCGTTCGCATTTTCTTTCTATCATATTACCAACACTTTTTTTCCAATTCCTTAACTCATATACATAATAATAGTATAGTATGTGTTTGATTGAAAAATCCTATGGAACAAAAGAAATATTGCTGTAGATCAGTACTAGCAATGGCCCAAGCTCTCGATAAAGTTTGGCGAAATGGTCTACTCGAGAAACTGCGAGAACAACTACCCCGCACACAGTTGCACACTCAGTGACCACTTCTAGAAGCGACTTATAACCTGAACTAACGACAGTTTCGAGTCGTGACGTCAAATTTCAGAAATCTATAAGACCGACTACCGCGTTGTAGAATCCTAGGGACAACTATTTATACCTTCTCTACACATCTAATGATATCCCTGGAAAATATTAATCAATGACCGCTATAATTGTTTTTAATATTTATGTCATGTAAAGACCAGCAGGCTGGGATTAATAACATACATGGTCTCTGATCGACCACTTCTTTAATTTTACAAGACGTTGTAAAGCCAAGATAAATTCCTTCGCACGTTAACTATACTCACCGTAAACCGAGAAAATTCAAGTGTTTCTGGATTTCACTATAATCCCAAATAAAATTTTCAGCTAAATTGAAAAACATGCTCGTGTAAAGAAACATACGTATAAATATCGCTATAAATTTCCCCTAAATTTCCATCTAAATCAGAAACTTCATGTCAACCAGAAAAGTGTACAAATCAAAGAAAAAACGAGTTAATGTAGAATTTAGTTTAAAAACACACTAAACATGACATGGCAGACAAACATTTCGTATGCGTAGTTATTGCAATTTGAACTTATGGCAACCTACAATTATGAGGTTGGGGCTACAAATCCAACAACAATCTCGTCGAAGTTATTCAATTTTGTCAAAATATTCCCAAAGTCTCTACACTATTCACAGTAAACCAGTTTGTGGCTCGGCGAGGTGCAGTTGCTGAAATTGAGCGTGATTGAGAGTGATCAACGGCCGCAGCTTCTAGTTCCCGGATCCATATTGGCCAAAACTTTGCTACACACATGTACACATGTTGCAACCAACCGTTACCAACCACACCAACCGTTAAAACCCTACAACCCATAACCCCTACAATAGCTACTGGACATAGTTGCCGGGATCAAGACCGATAAAAAAAAAAACCAATTTATCCATCGTTGTCTGAATATGTCATGGGTACATCCCAAACAAAATATTAAAAAGTTTGCTAACAAACATACGTATAGACTAGCTGAGTTGTACACCAATGCTGCTGCTGAACAACTTTTTTATGAATTTCCAATCGCAAGAAATCGGGTGACTCTTTTATCATTCGTATGAAACCGTACGACTCATTTTAAGTGACATAGTTCAAGGGGTCTAAGATACCACAAACATTAGAGTAAATAAAATACAAACAAAGGTATAAAATAAACTATGTATGTATTTATATACTTATTAAGACGTATCATATCTTATAATATATTAGGTATTTCTATATAGGTACTACCAATCACATTATATTATATAATAGGGAAGTTATACAAAATAAATATATAATAATATCATGTATGCTTGTGGCACCTATTATCAACTTAAAAAACCATTAAGAACTTTAATCACGCAACTTTGTAAATTAAATTAACCTTAAAAAGTAAATCATGAGTCATTTTACAAAGTCAGTCGATGGTTTTATATTTGAGCATTTACCGCAATCGTTAATAATAAAAAAAAAAAAAGTAGAAAAGTAAAGTATAATTCAAAGATACGAGTTGAAAATATTCCCACAAAAAGGGTCTGGCACGCTGTTACCGACGTATGAACAATACACGCTGTCGAAAAAGGTGCACTAAAGCCTGAAAAGCCTGCTACCTGGTTTATGGTAGCACATCGGTGTTGACGTCTTTAATGTAACATACATACACACTTACAGTTTGCGATCATCATATAAATAATTATGCATCGAATACACACTATAGAATTTTTACCGACGCAAATATGTGCTCATTGCACTTTACGACTCTGTTCTAATTCTAATTTATAATTAAAATAACACACGGCAGTCAGTAGATGGACATTCACCATCTTCACGAGCGAATTCAAATAATATACAGTTATTAGTCATATTCCAATATCTATATATTTGAAAATTACTGATACTTTAGTACCTGGGTTAATACGTCTTATTAAAATATAATAACAATTTTAGAGTAAGTTGGCAACCATAGCAAGACAGCAATAATAATTGTACT